CAGGGGGCTGGTAGGACACATGGGTCCTGATTCCCCTCCACGCTCTCCAGCCATTGTTAGTTGTGCTGACAGCACCACCATCCCAAGGGGCACAACTTGTACCCTCCATAAGTAGAGGTTACGCTTAGGACTTGGCATGCACACTCCTGGGTACAAGTCTCAGCATCAGCCCTGCAACAAGAGCAGGAGTGACTGGGTGATGGGGCAGGTCTTACTTGTCAGATTTGTGTTTCCCAACAGATGCAAGGTCCTGAGCTGGTGCCTGGGGGTCCAACGCAGCGCATTTTCCAACCACCTCACACCCCACAGCAGAACCCCCTGAGCTACTTCCTGCACCCACAGCAGCAGAGCCATCACGTGCAGGGCCAGCCCTGCAACCTGCCCGACCTGCCCGAGATGCAGCTGCCCTGAACACCAGCTCTGGGAGGCAGGGACCACATGGCTGCAGCGCTCGGCGCCCTGGGCGCGCACAGCGCAGAGGACGGCGCGTCGGAGCACAGGAGGCTGAGGTCAGGCCCCATGAGGAGGCGGTGGCTGGAGGGATGGTCCCGGATGGGGATGGATGGCTCCAGGGGCACATCTGTTGGGATTTCCATGCAGTCAGTCCGTGATGCTGCTCTGGCAGTGTATGTGCCCTGGTCCAGCACCATGGTGCAACTGGAAGCGTTGGCTTTCTGGCTGCAGGGGGGTTAGTTATCAGGTTGCCACGAAGCTTTGCAATGGAGAAAACCCTTTTCCATTCAGGACTTCAATGCTGAAAGTCACTGTGAATTTATGCCCAGCATTTGGAGCACATAGACAGATTGTACCGGTCCGCAGGACACCGTTGGACTACCGTGTACATAACTCATTTTGCTGTAGTAGGTCTATTGTGGATTTTCTTTTCCTTTTTTCTATACCTCAGTCCCACAGCTTTTTGTTTTCCAGGAGATTGGATATTGCTGCTAATCTACATAACACCACTTTTGCCTGAATTTCTTACTGTTGTTATACCAGCTCACATCACAGCTAGGACAATATTTGTCACGTTTGATTTTTGGTTAACGAGTGCAGATAAATTTATATGGTTTTTACTCCCTGTAGCCAAATATTTTTCAGGTTACAGACAAATAATCCTTACTGCTTTTTGGTTTTTTGGTTGTTTAGTTTCAAGTGATGTAGTTGTATATGTTTCTATACATTGAAACAAACAAACATGCATAGAACAGCATATGCCAGCAAACTTTGTGGTTTTGCTAGGTCATGTTTCAATTTGGCAAACCCAAATCATGACACAAGCGATGTTACAAGCCCGTAGGGTCAGCAATAAATTGTATTTTTGTAAATTGTCACTTTTTAACTATAAGTTTATATTTATGAATTGAAAAAAGAAACAAACCAGTTTATTCCTCAGTGGGTGTATAGTTAAGTGTCCCTACTGTTTGTGTCTTTCCAAAGGAAAAATGAAAATGTACATCTTTGAGGCGTTAGTAGCTGCGTACTAACTTTGGGCACTGTTAGAGCCCAAGCATAGGAGATGGGTTTGGCCATTACTATAAACTTTGCAAGACAATGTTAGTTAGGACCAGGTCCCTCTAGCAGTAAAGCTCTATCTGGCAGCCAGAGCAAGGTTTAGGGAGGGGTTAGTTAATCTCTGTCGAAATCAAGCTAACCCTGCTTTTTTTTTGCCTTTTATTTTTGGCATTTGTTTCCTTTTTTTATCTTGTGCAAGCCACTTGCTTGTCTCTTTGCAGCACTGCAGCAGCTGGACACTGGTGCTACTGGTGGTAGTGATGGAGTAGCCTTTGGCACAAGCAGCCCCAAGCAGCCATGTGTTTCAAGAAAAGGTGGAGGTGGGAACTTGTTAAAACAATAGTTATAGCTAATGGTGCCTGTGTCTGTACCCTGAGCTATCTAATGCTGTAAGCACGTCTCTGTCTGTCTATAGCTGTATCTATATGTCTGTAACTGGCTTGATTGCCCCCAGCAGCCATGCGCAGAACACTGGGAGCATTTCATCAGCTCTGGGGCCAGGCTGTGATTGGGGGATGAAGAACATGACTGTTTCAGCTGTATGAACAAGATTATGGCAGCTGGAGTTTCTCAGAGAGCTCAGGAGTGAAACAGGAGCAACAGCTCTGCCCCAAATGGGATTTTGGCTCCTGCCTGCTGGGGCGCAGTGGTACTCCCCTAGCCCCGATCCACCCGGGGCTCTTTGCCAGCAATTTTCCTGGGGAAGGGGAAAGGGTTTTGCTGTACCACATTTCCTGGGCTGGTGGTGATGGTGGGAGGACAGGCTGCCAAAGCAGGGGCAGCCAGGAGCTTTCAGGGGGCTGGTGCAAGGTTCTGTGGTGCTTTGGCTGGGGCAGGGATGGACATGTGAACAATGGCTGTGCCAGTCCTTGGCTTTCCATGGGGCTCCTCCCTGGTAAAAGCACTGCCACAGGTTGGCTTTGGCTGGGACCCTGGGTGCACAGCTCCCAGGGGTGACAGACTGTGGGTTGGGGAGCTGCAGCCTCCCAGCCACATGCAGCATTTTGGAGAGCATAGTGGGCTTGGAGGCAAGGAGGTGCCCAGCAGCCCTTAGTGGTGGGGTACGATACTGGGGCTTGTTCCTTGTCAGTCCTCTCTATTTCAAACCATGACAAGAAATCCTGGCTACAGCAGAGCCATGGGCCAGGGACATTTCACTGCTGGTAGGTAGTGGGATGAGGAGCACCTGCCTTTGTGAAGCAACCTGAAGCTGAAATAGTAACACCTGAACCCCTGACTCTTAGAGCCCAAGCCCTAGGGAGAGCATGGGGGTTTTCTGGCTTTTGTGATTTGTGCGGCAGTAAGGGCCAACACAGCCTCTGGGGCAGGAAACAATAGACTGTGTTAGGGTTTTTTTTAAAAGCACTATTACTTTTGGGATCTGCCCCTCCCATTCCCAGGACAGTGGGGTTGCTCATGAGGCTGGGCAGGAGGGAGTTGTACTTCTAAGGATTGTTGCGTGTTTTGTTGTTAGTGGGGAGGTTTTGGGCCCCCCCCAGCCACAGTTTGTGGGTCAGGGTGGCTGGCAGGAGGGAAAGGCTGAGCATTTTCCTGCCTTCCCCAGTGCACCACCGTGGCTGGGCTGCAGTGTCCCATCACGATACATGAGTCCAGTCGTGGCAGGTGTCCGTGAAATGTATCTCAGAGGTGGTGATGGTGGTTGGGGTCAGGGGCTTGGGGGTGTATTTTTTAACAGGGCTCGGTAGGCAGGTAGCTGAGGCAGAGCAGTTTTCTGGCATGGCTGTGGCTTTGGCAGAGTCCAACAAAGGAGGGTTGGAAGGGGTCTGGGGGAGGTGGGAGGGTGGTGGGAGCGCCGGATGGGGCCGTGCCATGGGCGCACAGCCCTTCTGATGGCAGCGCTGGGCTGCAAGGACAGAGAGGGCTGGGGGGGCACTGCCCTCCTGCTCACAGCCTCTCAGCACAGGAGCTTTGTGAGGATGTTTGTTTACATGTTAGATTGGCCTTGCTAAAACAAGAGACCTAAAAACGCACTTTATCGTATGGTCCCCCTTAATTCCCAGTGCCCACCCCAGCCCCTGGCCGTGCTGCTGGCGGGTGAGGGTCTGCACAGTCCCAGGCACTGCCTCGTGGGTAGAGCCTTGTTTTTGAGACATGCTCCAAAGGACAAAATCCCACTGTCCCTTTCTGGGGCTCACATGGTCCCTGCTCAGTCTGCCTCTAGCTAGGGGGAAGGCTGAGACATACCATGGGGGTTTTTGCCTTATATTGTCACTCACTCTCAAAAAATATAGGTATAAGTCTCTTTATTCAGGTTGATTTGTATTTGTTTACCTCGGTGTTAGCTATGACCTGTGTTTTTAGGACTCATTTGGAATTGAGGGTTGCTGGTGGGTTTGGGTCACACACCCCTGGCTGCTCACAAGAAGACACAAGTGTGACTTGTTGGTGACAAGCAGAGGGCAGGACTGATGGCACCTGTGGCAGGGTTGGGCTCCAGTGTTGCTGTCATCCTGTTAGTCATTAATGTTCTGAGGCTTTTTAGTACACAAATACCTATATACTAGATCTCTATATACAGATATACATATTTTCAGTATACATATATACATATGTATATCTCTATATAAATATATATAGGCCACACAATTCCAGACCTCTGAAAACACAGGCAGCTTTAATTAATATAAAGTCTTGCACTTTTAGCGTATTTGTACATATAAGCTAAAGCCTGGTGGGTATAATCAGGCTGGTTTGACAAACACAATGAAAAGTTACTGTATATATTGTATATATTCCATGCAAAAAAAAAAAAGAAGTCTAGAATGGAGTATAAACCTTGGTTTATTTTATATGATGTTGAATATAAAGACATTTATAAATGTTACTATTCTTAAAAGTATTTTGTAATGGGAAAAAGAAAGTGTCTTATGAAGATGAACAGTAAAGATTTTATTCTTGTTTTGAATTTATGTCCCTGCACAGCTCCATTGAATAGGAGCCTGTGTGTTTTGACAAGCTTTAAACAGATTGTACATAGTATTTAAAAAAAGAAAAAAGAAGAAATAAAATAACACTTGTAAGACCTCTTACACACTATGTGTTGTTTTGATTCCCTGGGTGGTGTGGGTCCTCTGGGGCCCAGAATCTGATCCCTGCTCTCCAGGGGGCACACGAGCAGCAGCTGTCATGTATTCCTGTGCACAAACAGCTGCAGGGATGGGGCTCAAGGTGGAGACTGAGATTTCCATGACCAGAAGCAATAGGGGCAAAGCATAACTTAGAAAGAACAAGGCATCAGAGCCAATGTAGGAATGTCCACACACTATAAATGTTTTAATGTGGGTGCAAAAAACATGTGACAGTACTCATGCAGTCCCAGCACTGAAGCCAGGTCAGGCTGTACCACAAGGCTAAACTAGTCTCAGGCTTCAGAATCTGGATCTCAGTTTTCCCTCCACTTTTGATGCTTTGGAAAGCACTCACTAAATGTAGCTTTAGCATGACTGACACTCTCAAAGGAACTTCTGAAGCAGGCCATCATGAGAAATAACAGTGCCTCAGACTTTTATTTCTTTTCTTTAAGTGAAACAATATTTTATTTAACACCCCATTTGTCTTACAGTACTTCCTCATACAATACATTGTATAAAAGCCAATCTGTCAACACAACCGTGTTGTCTTCTTGGTAAAGTGACAAAGCTATAGCAAAAAAAACAAAAAAACAAAAAAATCCTATTTTTCTAGAAACAAATCAGATTGCCTTTTGTTTTAGTCCAGATAACAACTGCAATTGCAATCAAGAATATTGTATGGTACAACTGGATGAGAAACTTCTAGTAAATCAACACACAGCTACTTCTTAGTCACTATGGTAGCAAACTCTTCCAAAATGACATTATTATCCAGCCACTAGAGTGATGAACAAGTGGCCTGAATGG